GGCGGAGGCAGAGGTGCTGCCCACGGTGAGGGAAGGCCGGGAAAGGGAGCCCATGGCTTCCTCCTGGATAGCAGGGCTCCGGGCCCAGCCTCTTTCCTTACTTCCTGTAAACAGGAGGCAGGGCCCGCGCGGGCTCTGAGCTGCTGGTCAGCTCCTTGCGGATGGGACTTGTTAGCCCACAGAGGAGCTTACTTAAGAGTAGCCCCGGTCTGTGCTGGGTTGGCTCTGATTGAACAGGCAGGTGGGCAAACGCTTGGACGAGGCTTAGCCCCCTGGGGCTGTGTGCTCAGGAGTGGGAGCAGGCTCATCAGGCCGAGAGGACGGGGTGTGGGGCCTCCCCACGCCCCCAGTTCTGGTCGTCTCCATCCCAGCTCCGCTGTGCATCCCCGACTCTCACGTGCATAGCTGTGTCGGAGGTGTGTAAGACTCACCTTGTTACCAACATTCTCCAGCGTGGAGCTGGTCTGTGAGTCGGAGACTTACTGTAGTGTTGTTTCACTGGGGTATATCTGTGCATACTTAGCTTCGGGAAATCTAGATAATCACTTACAAAGGTAGTGTTTGTGTCACTGCCGCACAATCTCCCAGCGGACTGGGGCCCAGCCCGGCCTGGTAGGGAGGGGTCTCCTGTGGCAGGGTCTGCTCCTCCCGGGCAGCCTGAGCCGGGTGCTCTTCTCACAGGGGACGCTGACCAAGCCTGCAGAAGTGCCCCGGCTGCGACTCTCGTCAGGCTTCTTTTGGGACGTGGGGCTCGACACTCTGACCCCGGCCTTACCGCCCCGAGGAGAGAACTCCGACAGCGAGGAGGATGAGAAGCCACCCCACGCCACGGTACTGTTTTCTAGGGCTCTGTCCTTCCCTCGGGGACCCCTTGGTGCCAGGCTCTTGGGCCCTGTCCTGTCCTAGTGGGGGTGGCCCCTGGCCCCAGGGTGTGTAGAGCCCTGGACTCCCTGGCCAGCTCACCGTGGCTTCCACCACAGACCCCCCTGGTCTTTGAGGACCTCTGACTCACTCTTCCGCTTTCCATAGCAGCAGAAGAAAAGCAAGAAGGAAAGGGAGTTGGAGAAACAGAAGGCAGAGAAAGAGCTGTCCCGCATTGAGGAGGCGCTCAGGGACCCTGGGCGGCAGCCGGAGTCTGCAGATGACTTCGACCGCCTGGTGCTGAGCTCCCCCAGCAGCTCCATCCTGTGGCTGCAGTACATGGCCTTCCACCTGCAGGCCACGGAGATTGACAAGGCCCGGGCAGTGGCCGAGAGGGCCCTGAGGACCATCTCCTTCAGGTTCCTCTGTCCCCTGCTCTGGGCTGGGGTCTTTAGACTGTGACAGTGTATCGCCCCAAGTTCTGGCTTGCGGAATCCGCTGCTGTGGGGTCCTTTGTTGTAGGCAGGAAACGGCAGCTAGAGGAGCTGTGCCAGGGACCATGGTGACCAGGCTTTCTCTCAGAGGTGCAGCCATTTGTGAGACAGAGCTGCTTATTTATATTTCATGGGCCTCTTTACTGAAATAGCTATGGGTGGCTTTTACGAGTCTCTACACTTAACTAAGATACCCAGTTTGGAATAGAAGTAGAATGGGGAAGACAGCTGCACTTACTGGGTAAAACCCCAGTAGGTGGCCATTTTCCAGGCCACGTAGGGTCGGTCTCCCCAGCCTGGTGAGGGCAGAGAGCAGTCCGTTTCATTCCCTTAGTTTGGGGAGCAAATCCGACCCAAGAGTCTGCCTCTGCCCAGACCCCCGCCTGTTGTGATCTGAGGGCTTCCTTCCCAGGCATGGAGACACTAGGGGAGCCTCGGCCTGGCAGCTAGGGGTCGGGCCTGGGTTCCTGGTGCTGTGTGAGCTGTGGTGAGGGTGGGACCTGGGAGGAGGCAGCGGTGGTCGGGTGGGCCAGATCCTGGGCGGGAGCGGTTCCTGGGCTGAGCTGATGGGTCTTATGCTCTCCTCAGAGAGGAGCAAGAGAAGCTGAACGTGTGGGTGGCGCTGCTGAACCTGGAAAACATGTATGGCTCTCCTGAGTCCCTGAGCAAGGTCTTCGAGCGCGCCGTGCAGTACAACGAGCCTCTCAAGGTCTTTCTCCACCTGGCCGACATCTATGCCAAGTCCGAGAAGTTCCAGGTAGGAGGCCTGGCCTGGCAGCCGCCACCAAAGGCCCACACCTCTGGGGAAGGAGGCCCAGGGCTGCTGTCTCAGGGAAGGAGCCTGGATTCGGGTCCTGTCCTGCCCCAGGCCCAGCCTTCTGGGCCTGCGCCGCCTCATCTCTGTCTCCGCTGTGGGAAAGGAAGTGAGAAGCCACGCCTTGGAAGTAGGGGGACAGTGGCTCTGGTCTGCGTGCCTCGGGCCGCCGATGGGACATCGGACCTCGGAGGTCCTTTTCTCCTGTTCCCACTTATTTTTTGGGGGTACCAGGGATCAAACTCAGGACCTTGCGCTTGCAAGTCAGGCGCTGTGCCACTGAGCTAAATCTCCGGCCCTTTATTATTTTTTTTGAGACGGGGTCTAACTGTGTAGTTCAGGCTGGCCTTGAACTCACAGCAGTCCTGCCTCATGCCACCCTGCCCAGCCTCCCCATCATCCTTACACTCCTCATCCAGGGCCTGCTTGTTGTTTTGTTCGTTTGTTTTAACTGGGGATTGAGCCCAGACCTTTGCACAGAACTACATCTACAGCCCTTTTTTATTTTGAGACTTCTCTGAGTTGCTAAAATGCCTGGGCTGTGATCTGCCTGCCTCAGCCTCCCAGGGTGCTGGGATTATAGGCATGTGCCACATGCCTGGCTAGTCCAGGTCCTTCTTAAGGACCTGGGATTCGTTGAGAGATTCCCATGCTTTTCCCTGCTGCACGTCTTTCCTCTTCTCAGGCATCTAGAATTAGGCCTAGAGGGGGATGTGGCGTCAGTGAGCCCAAGTCTAGTTCTTGTGTGCACTGCGGCCTGTCTTCATTGCTGTCCCTCTCCAGTACCACCCCCCCAGCTCAGGCTGTCTTTCCCACAGGAAGCTGGGGAGCTGTATAACCGTATGCTGAAGCGCTTCCGGCAGGAGAAATCTGTCTGGATCAAATACGGGGCCTTTCTTCTCCGGAGGGGCCAGGCCGGGGCCAGTCACCGCGTGCTGCAGCGAGCCCTCGAGTGCCTGCCTGCCAAGGAGCGTGAGTGCAGGGCCCGGCCTTGGATGCACACGGCCCTGGCGTCTGCCTGGGAGTCCGGGCTGGTGTCTCCTCCAGGTGGTAGAGCCTGTGAGCTGGGGCAGTGTGCCTGCTCGTGAACACAGTGATGGGAGCTCCCTCCAAATGCTGAGCAGCTGCAAAAGATGGGAGGATTAGGAAGCAATCAGCGTGTACACTGCTGCCCTGGGACCTTGCCTCTTCCCGTTCAGAGGGGATGTGTCTGTGGTGCCCATTTGTGTGCTTAGCTCGGGTCCACCCCACTGTCCCCTTTGGGTTTTGTCCCTCTTGTCAGTCCTGGCCCCCCAAGTGCAGGAAGTCAGACTGGCTGCCCTGGGTCACCTGTTGGTGGGGAAGGCGCCTGTCGGCCTGCTGTTCTGAGTCCTCTCTCCCTGCAGACATGGATGTCATCACCAAGTTTGCCCAGCTGGAGTTCCAGCTGGGAGATGCAGAGCGGGCCAGAGCCATTTTTGAAAACATGCTGAGCACCTACCCAAAGCGCACTGATATCTGGTCGGTGTACATTGACATGACCATCAAGCACGGCAGCCAGAAGGAAGTCCGGTGAGAGGGGAAGGCAGATGGGGTGGGGGTGGCACCAGAGGCCCCCAGGACTCTGGTTTGATTGGGTGGTGGCTTTGACACGGCCCCGCTGTGTTCGCTTCCAGCCTCTGGTCCCACTGTGGGGGTGGCCGGGCCTGGGCCTGGGGGTCAGAGTTGACACTTCCCAGCCCTGAGCATGCAGAGCCTTTGAGCATGATTTCGCTTTGTCCCCTAGCATTACTATAAGGCAGAGAGGGCTAGAGGAGGGTAGACTGAGGCCCGGAAAACACAAGCACTGGCCTGGGCCCTTCTGTGAGGTTCTTTTGGTGGTTGGGGGGTTGAGCCCAGGGCCTTTGCATTAGGCTACATCCTTAGCCCTTTCGAAAAAAAAATTTTTTGGCCGGGGATTTAGCTCAGTGGTTCTGGTGCCTGCCTTGCACCAGTTCCCAAGTTCGATCCCCGGTACCAAAAAAAAAAAATTTTTTATTTTTGACCAGGATCTCGCTAAGTCACTAGGTTCCCCAGGAGGGATTCAAACTTTCCATCCTCCTGGCTCAGCTTCCCAGCGTGCTGGGATTACAGGCATGGGCTACCGCACCCCAGGCCCTTCTCTCAGTTTTAAGCTTTGCTTCTCACAGATCCATACCTCATCGTGTGTCCCCATCCCAGAACCTTTGTCCTCATTCACTGGTAGCTTTAGGAATGGAGGTCTCTTGGCATCTCTGAGTGTCTGGTGCTGTTTTGGCAAGTAAGAGTGGTGTTGTCCCCCAGGGCCTTATAGGAGTTCAGAATGATGATAAAGGTGGGTGTGGGGGCTGGGCGTGGTAGTCCAAGCCTATTATTCCAGCACTCAGGAGGCTGAGGCAAGAGGATTGCCAGGACTATACAGCAAAACCCCATCTCCAAAAACAGGTGGCTGTGGGGCTCTTGGGTGATAGAGCGCCCTGGAGCCCAGGGGTGGGTGGGCAAGCTGGCCGGGACTCATGGGGCTGGGGCAGGAAGTAGCTGCTGCCCTGCTCGTCCTCACAGGGACATCTTTGAGCGGGTTATCCACCTGAACTTGGCCCCCAAGAAGATGAAGTTCTTCTTCAAGCGCTACCTGGACTATGAGAAGCAGCACGGCTCTGAGAAGGACGTGCGGGCGGTGAAAGCGAAGGCCTTGGAGTATGTGGAGGCCAGGAGCTCTGTGCTGGAGGACTAGCGGCCGGGGCTCTGGACAACTCTGTTTCTGCAGCACTCGCGGGGCGGGGCGGGCTGATTCCATCAGATGGAAAGAATCTGAGGCTGACGATTTGTACACCCTCTGTTCAGTTTATTTATTGGGAGGGGACAGTGCTGGGCAAGTGCTCTGCCCCTTGGGGTTTAATTCTTTGCATAGTTTGTTTTATGGACTGGTTTACGCCATCATTTTCCTTTCTGAGACTGCCCAGTGGTTGCAGGCAGCAGGATCTTGGAGTCCCAGGAAAACCAAGTATTCCTCCCTCAGGGCTTCCCTGCCTCGGTGTCCTACCCCAGGCAGGCTCTCAGTCGGCCAGTAGGGTCTGCAGGGCATAGGAGCCGGCAGTGTAGGATTCTGGGCATGGTCTCAGCTCAGCTGGTGCCGTTGGCCCTCCTGTGGAGGCCCAGGGGCTGCTGAGGAGGCTGCAAGCGTTGGCTTCAACTGCCTGATGACGGCTGTCCCAGGCCCACCCTGGCCAGTGACCTCCCCCTCCAAGTGGGGGACTGCCGAGTTCTGGGAGGCCAGCGCTCTTTTGGCCTGGTCCTGAGGGAATTAAAAGCTCTCTCTCCATGAGGAATGACTGCGTTACCTGCCAGGGAGCAGGGCGGGAGCAGGGAGAGCCAGAAGCGTGTGGGTGTGGTGGGGCAGCCAGGGCGGCACTGGGGCGGCTGGTCCTGAACCTCAGTGCTGGGTTGCGGGGCCTGGAAGGATCTTCTGCCTGTGACATACCTGCTGAGCTTCCCTCTGAAGGCCAGGCTGCCTCTGACCCGGACCAAATCAGAGCCCTCACCCCAGGGGTGCCCCTTCGTGGACACCTGGCATCACCTGCACGGCCACCACCCTGTGGTCCACTTAGCTTTGTCCGCTACCACAGGGCTTGGCCCTACCCACTCAGTCAGCAGACACCAGGCTAGCCCTTTATGGTAAGAAAAGCTTTATCAAAACTTAAATTTGTGAAATCAGGCCAGAGGCATACAAAAACGGCAGCTTCCCGGCAGTGCGCTGGCCAAGCCCATGCCCCTGCAGTTAGACACAAGTTTGCACGTGTGCTTCGTATACAAGGAGCCCGCTGTGGCTCTGCTCTGCTGGCCTGGGGCCTCTCAGCTTGGAATCCCACTGAAGACAGAGGCAACCCCTGCCACTGTTGGGTGTGGACCAGTTTGGGGAAGGCCCTTCCCTAAAGCTGAGCCAAGGGGGCTGGTGGCAGCAGGGTTCTTCAGACCTGAGAGTCCTCTTGTCAGCGGAGCACCTCACACTGAAACTGCACCCCAGCTTACTTTGTGTCCCTTCCCCTCACCTGTTTGCCTGGTGCTGACATTAGGGGGGTTCCGCTCGGGACCAGGTGGCTGTTTGCAAAGAGGCAGAGGTGGAGCTCAGGAGAGCAGGGCCATCTCCACGCTGTCAGGGGTCCTGCCGTTGCCTGCCAGGCCCTGGGCCCACTTGTGTAGGCGGCTGTAGAGTGGGAGGCCCTGGTTCTCACGGTACAGGTAGACGCCAGTGATGGCGTTCCACTGCGGCCGCGGCTGCGTGCCCTCCACTGGGAACTTGGCGACCAGCTCTTCATCGTCCTTGTTGAGAGCCACAAAGCCGAAGAAGCGGCGCACGTTGTTGGCAGCCAGCACCCTGGAGTGCACCTCGGCCGTGCGCTGGAAGAGCTGGTCCTCGTTGTTCCGGTACTGTGCCCAGTAGGCCTCTTGGCGGTAGCTGAGTGGTGAGCAGTAATGCTTGAGGCACTTGGTCAGGAACACCAGGACGGCCACCACGCCGATGAGCAGCCACCCGAAGAGCTGGCGGGGGACAGCAGGGCTCAGGAGGGACGGGATGGCCCGCCTCCCTGCCTGCTTGGCAGGAGGACACCCACCTTGGGAAGGGGATGGGGGAGGCAAGCCCTGTCCTGCCTTTCCTCCGTTACCTGTACTTCCTTGCCCATTTTTTGAGACAGGGTCTCGCTCTGGTTTGGGCTGGCCTTGAACCCATATGCAGCCCAGGCTGGCCTTGACCTTGCAGCGATCCCCCTGCCTCGGCCTCCCCCGTTCTGGCACTACAGGCGTGCACCCCCATACCCATCTTCTTGCCCTGCTTTTAGACCAGTTCAAGCCTGGAGTATAGCTCTGGCTTGTGTGAGACCTGGGGTCTGGTCCCCAGCACCACATGTTCAAACCAGCTCAAACTGCCAGGTGCAGCTCAGGCCCTCCCAGGAAAATCAGGGCCCTCTGAGAGCACCCCCCCAATCCTTCAGGACTTGGTTCCTGTCACACCACTGCCACCTGCCTCGTTTTGAGGTGTGCTTGCCTCAAATGCCTGGACAAGAGCCTGCTGAAGGTGGGGCTGCGGAGGGCCGATTGCTCTGTGCGGAGCTCTGTGGGCATTTGGGTGGCACCAGGTGACACACTGGCTGTGTCCACCACCTTCCATCTCCGGTGCTGTCACCAAGCGTTTCTCTGGCTGCCTAGGTGTCTTGTCCCCCCGAGAGGAGAGGCCTTGTACAGACTCAGGCGCCTTCCCGTCTCCTCACCTCAGGGTGCTAAGCTCACCCCTCAGCTCAGGTTTGCGGCCATTACCTGACTCTGGTACCGGGGCCTCCACACCGAATGCAGCAGAGACTGCTGTTAGGGTCAGGCAGCTGCAGCCCCAGGCCCACAGGCCCACCCTGCCCGCCACCCCGGGGGCTCCTATCGAAGCCAGCAGCACTACAGGCTGACCGGCTAGTTCTGGCTGCTACACAGCCACACCACCAGCTCCGTGTTCCTGCGGTGGCTTGCAGGGCCCTGTGCTCAGACGCCAGGTTGGGCCTGTGCGTGATTGGGGTCAGAAGTTCCTTTCTTGTTAAACCCAAGCCCAAAGTTGGAGCTCAGGGCGGAGTGTGCTCGGCATGGCCAAGGCCCAGAGCTCACTTCCCAGCCCCAAACTCACTTGGGACTAGATGGACCCTTGCCTACCACGCTCCCACTCAGGCCAGCCAGCTCTGCTGTGTGGCAGTCTGGTCACAGCTTTCCCAGAAACCCAGCACCTCTGCCCAGCTGCACCAGGGAGTAAAGACGTTCCCCTCAGCCCAGAAGCTTACCTGGGACTCGTACTTGAGCCTGCGGCTGACCTCCTCCCGGAAGCCTGACAGCTTGGCAGGGCCCTCCCCGCAAGGGAACCTGGCCAGAATCTCAGTGGCATGTGCTGGCGGGAAGCCCTCCTCCCCAGCTGTGAGCGAGGAGGGGTCCACGAACTCGCTGAGAGCACAGGCGTAGGCCTCCCCTCGAAGCAGAGAGATGACGGACCATGTGATGGGGGCCACGGCCGCACGGCCTAGGATGGAGCTCAGAAGCAGGAAGTTGGGAGCAGCCGAGCAGTTCTTGGTCCTCCGATACTGGCACTCAGTAACCAGATTCCATGTGTGGTTATTGAGGACAATGCCGATGAGGAAGAGCGCCAGGGCGGGCACTCCAATGGCTGTCAGCCCGTACAGGTAGTTCCGGGCCGGGGAGCAGGGGCAGTGGAAGGCCACCACCGAGAACAGCTCCTGGCTGCCCACTGTGCCCAGTGCCACCAGCCCATTGAAAATCATCACATCCTTGCTCTTGAAGAAGAGTGACAGGAAGCGGAAGTTCTCTGCGATCAGGGCAGCCATGGTGGTGGTGGGTTGGGACGGAGTGCAGGAGAGAAGGCAGAAGCGGGTGGGGTCGATGGCTCCTGGTGGGACTAGGAAGGCGTGCACGCCACAGGCCACCTGAAGGCTGGGCAAAGTCGAGCCATTTTATCACCTACAGCGGCTGGCCCGGTGCTTCCTGCTGAACAGGACAACATAAATGCCTTCTCGTGAGCACGGAGGCTCAGGAGGATGCCTCTGGAAGGAGCCCGGGCCAGGAAGCCGTGGTAGCAACTGTCAGTGAGTGCTCCCCATCCCTAGGCTGCCCCACCCAATGCCCAGGGAGGGGCAGATGTCCCAGGTGCGCCACCAGCTGGAGTCACAAGTGACAGCTGGACTCAGACGCAGGCTTCTCTGCCTCACAAACTTCAGGCCTTTCCTGCCACTGTTCTCTCAGGGCAACGGTGAGGGTGGCCCTGTGGGAGCCAGGTGGTGCTATGCTCTGAGAGGCCTGGGACTATCTGGGGAGTGTGTGACAGGTATCAGAGCCGGAGTGGCTGTCCTGGTATATGAGGGACAGACTGGATCCTGGGCGGTGAGGAAGGGGGCTTCCAGTCAGTGGTGAGCCTGGGGGCCTCAGGCCTCATTTTGGAGACCTCAGGGTCTCAACACACTTCAAGTCCTCTCTGGGCCTCAGTGTGCTCATCTATGGGAAGCAGACAGGTCCTGGTCCTTGCTGTCTTCCTAGGAGTGATGGAAAATAAATGATGCCTAGTAATTGCCCAACTTGTGAGGGAGGCCCTGCATTTCTCTCCCCGTCAGGTCTTCAGAGAGCAGGCAGGACACAAAGTCTCAAGAGGATAAAGTGCTTTGCTTGAGGCCGTACAAATATAGAGGTCGCTGGCCACGACTCATGACCCAGACCCAAGGAGACTCGGGAAGGGACCACGTGGTCGCTCCACTTTCTTTCTGCTACTCCCCTTGCCTTCAGGACCCTGCCCCATCCAGCGGCTCCCAGCATCCTCTGCTCCTCCGAGCTCCCGGCCTGGGAGCTGCCCCACTAGCTCGCTAACAACAGGAAGCCCTGAGAAGACTGGGCCCGGCCCACCCACCATCACTTCCGGAATTGTCCTCACGGGTGGTGGTCGCCTGCAGTCAGGCAGAGAGATGGCCAGGAAGTGGCCATGGCCTCAGGCTACTGCAAAGCTGGGCCCAGCTCCCTTCCTAGGCTCCACCCACGTAGCCAGAGAGGGTGCGGTCCCAGGTCCTCCCCATCCCAGGATGGAAAACAGGACTCCCCGGGCTTGAGGAGCCAGGCAGCAAACCGATGTGGAGGCCTGCGGCAGGTCAGCCTGTGCCGGCCTCTACCCGACCTGTCCTGCTCTGCCAAGGCCTCCCATGGCCCCGGCAGGGCCGTGTCCGGCCCCTGTGCCGTGCCCTGGGAAAGGGACTCGCTTACGTTTCTGAAGAGAAATGGTCTCTTCTCCCCTCTTCCTTCTTGGTTACTGGGCACCTACTTAGGTCCCTGTGGGCGCCCCGGGCCCATCCACCCACCCAAAGTGGGGTGCGGGATGGCTGGACAGGGCGGTGATCAGCAGAGGACGATCAGGCCACTTCCACGACTCGTGCCCGGGACTGGCTGCTACCAGTGAGCGGGGTCCTGGGGCCCTGGGGCCCTGGTGAGGCCCGAGAGAGCCCCACCCAAGGGGGCAGGGCTCCCAGCTGGGGTCTCTCCCGGGGCAGCCCCTGCCCGAGCGAGGGACTCCCCTCCAGCCGCAGTCCCTCGGGCTGCCCGCTGGCCCGGCCGAGCCCCACTCCGGGCCCACCAGGGAGGGGCCCTCCTTACCTGGGCAGTGGCGTGCGGCGTGTGGCCTGGCCTCTGCGGGCTGGGTCCTCGGGCGGAGACTCCCAGCGGCGCGCCCCAAGGGTCCCTCTGCCTGCCCTGCTCTCTGCTGCTGGCTGCACGGGATGGGATGTTTGAGACCAGCAGGGCCTGGGGCTGTCTTCTCCTGTTTGACGTCTAGGCGTCTACAGACACTTTTAACTCCATAAAAGAAAGCCAGTGGGACGGAGCGGAGCGTGTGCGCGCCATCCAGGGGGAAAACAGCCTCTCGCAGCGGGGGCGGAGGGAGGAGGGAGGAGGGAGGAGGCGGCGGGGCGGCGCGGCGCGAGGGCAGGAAGTGGGGAAGCGGGTTCTGGTTCCCAGCTGCTGTCCCGGCCCACGGCCCACGGCTGTCGGCGCTGCTGGCGCCCGGTCCGGACTTCCCCCTGGGGTGGTGGGCGCCGAGGGAGGGCCTCAGCAGAAGCCGGCAGGGCCCCCGGAGACCTAGCCTAGGCCGCCCTCCGGGGCCCTGTGCGTGGCTCATGGGGCAGAGGCTGCTGGAAGGAGCCCGGGCCGGGGCAGGGAGAGGGGGCCAGGCCCCGCCTGCTCGGACGTCTCCCTCCCAACACCCCGCCCCGGCTGAGCATCCCTCCAAGAGGAGAGGATCTGGCCGAGATTCAGCTCACTCCCGGGGCCGCCTGGGTCTCTGGACGGCTGACAGGGAGGGGAAGTTGGGACTCTGAAGGGAAAGGGACCAGTGTTTTCTTCAGGTCCTGCCGCGCGCCAGGCACAGTCCGCTCCTTCCCTGAGAGCCGCGCCCTCATCCTCCCGTCCCGAGAAGTAGGACTGTAACCCACTCCGCAGAAGGCGCAGAGCTGCAGCTCCGAGGTGCGACCGTGCCGTGCCTCGACCCACGGTATAACCCTTTCCTTCCCGCTGCCGCCCCTCCTGCCCTGGCTTCCGGCCCTCACTGCACCCCCGCAGGCTGGGGGCTGGGCGAGGACAGCGGCAGGCTGCCCAGACCAGATGGGCCGCGCGTGGGTGGAGCCTGTGTGGACCTGGCTCCTCCTCCGACGAGCAGTAGCCCGGTCTTTCTGTTCCTCACAACTCTGTGCGCTCCCGGGGGAGGAAGAGGGGAGCCCTTGATGCAGATGTGAGCAAGCGTCAGCCACCAGAAGGGCGAGGTGGGTGCCCTTATCCCCAGAAGGGAAACTGAGGCATAGAGGAAGAGCCTGGCTGGCAACATGGTCTGGAAGTGGTAGAGCTGCCACCGCCACCCTGAAGTCTTAAGTGGTGTCCACTCCGGCAGCGATCCTCACCTCAGGCTCCCTCCCGGGTGGGTCCTTGAGAAGTGGGAGATTTCTGGAGCCCTGGGCCTAGCCCGGTTTCCCTGAGATCTGGGTGTGGTCGCCAAGAACCCCCCTCAGAGGCCTCGTACTCGGAGCGGCCGTGACCATGTGACCAGTCGGGCTTCCCGACTGGGGCTGGCTCTCCGCATGCTTCATTATGGCCCTCCTGGCCCTACTCAGCCTCACCCAGAGGCTCTGACCAAGATCCAGAGAGCTGATGGCCTCCCACCCCTGAGCCTCGGGGAGGAGAGATCTTCAAAAGTCACAGACAAGGTTCCCAGGTGTGGTCGTGCCCACCTGTAATCCCAGCACTCAGGGAGCCTGAGGCGGGAGGATCTTAAATTCAAACCCACCCTGGGCTATTTAGTGACTTAGGAAATTCCTGTGTCAAAATAAAAAAAGTGCTGGGGTTTTAGTAAAGGCCTTGGATTCAATGGCCAGGACCAGGAACAAATTAAGGAGAAAAAAAGTGACAGGCAAGAAGGAATCCGGGGCACACCAGGCTGGGAGGCCGGAGAGGAGAGGTGAGTCAGGGCACAGCCAGCCCCTCTGGGAGGGGAGGCAGGTGCCTCCCTGTGCTGCCCCTCCAAGTCAGCTCTGACTGCCTAGTGCTGCTCAGGGCAACTGCCCCAGGGTCCCAGGGCCTCCGGGCGTCCGGCTGAGGCTGAGGCCCTGCCAGCTCCTGGTCTCCTTGCTCACGGTGCCTGGGGATGGGGGCTGCCGGGAGCCTTTGTTCTGTGTGGCTCCAGGGTCACACTCTGCTGAGGTAGGTGGCCACTTCCCTGCGTGGGGCCCGGGACCCGCCCCCCGCCCAGCCATTGCCCAGCAGTGGCTCCTCCTGGCCCAGGTGCAGAGGTGGCCTGCACTCGTGCCAGCTGGTGAGCAGCCTGTTCATGGTGCCCTGGTCAGTGATGCCTCGAAGCTTGTCCTTTTCCTCTCCTGCGCCGTCAGTCGGGCTGTGGGGCCCGGAGGCTGCGGTGGCGGTGGCCAGGGCCCCGTGGGCATGGCCCAGCTCCAGGTCATGGCTCACAGCCTCGAAGAACTGCTGGATGCAGACCTTGGCAAAGGCCTTGGCGTGCTCCGTGCATGTCTCATCGAAGAGCTTGCGCTCAATGTCAATGTAGTGGGACCAGTACTTGCTCTTGAGGAAAGCTGCCTGCGTGAAGCAGGGCCGCACCGAGCGGACCACGAAGGCCAGCAGCGTGGTCAGCAGCACAAAGGACCAGCCCAGCGCCTGCAGGGATGGCGGTGTCAGCAGGCCTGCCCGCCCTCCCAGCCTGCCCAGACCCTCATGGCACTCTTGGGCCTTTATACCTGACAGCAAGCCCTGGACAAGTGGCTCCTCGCTTGGCCTCTGTTTCCTTGCCTATGAAACGGGCACATATGGACCCACCTCACTGGAAAGATGTCATTCCCGGGGCAAGAGACTCAGTACCTGGGGGTTAAGTCCAGAGCGAGGGGCGAGGCTATCTGGGTGTGAACCCTGTCTCCGCTCACTACTGGCCCAGGAGCAGAGCCTCTGACTGCTGTGCCTCAGTTTCCTCACCTGTAGAATGGGTTCCTGTGAGATGAACTCAGCATCCTGTTCTCCAGCTGTGAGCCATTATCACGTCCATAGAGCGTCCTTCCTTGACCTGCCCAGGCCACAGTGGCCCTCCCTATCCTGATCTCGGCTCCCCTCCTTTGGTCCCCGGCACCAACAGTACCAGGTGGGCACCTGCTCTGTTGGGAACCAGGCTGGGCCCTGGGGACCCAGACCCAAACCCAATAAGCGCTCAGACTCTGCCCAGAAGCACTGGCCATGTGGGTGGGCTCAGCTCTGTGCTGCCCCCCCAGTTCGGCTGTGCTTGGGGTTGGCCCCCAGGTGCACAAATGAGAGAAGCACTCGGCAGATCACCTAGGGGACAAGGAAGAAAGGCAAAGGCCTCCGGCAGGGGCCAGGCAGGGGCCAGGCAGGAGCTATGGACACCTGGTCTCGGGGCTCCCCCAGCAGTGAGCCATGAGCAGCCCAAGGGGCTGCGTCTCCATCTCCTCCTGGCTCAGCTGATGCCAGGGATCTGATTTTCTGTGGAAATTTCTGGATTTTAGATGAAACCAAGTTGACTTCAGAGTTCAGTTGCTGGAGGCAAAATGAAACTCGCCTGGGGCCTGGGGCCTGGAGCCTTTCTGCTCACGGGGTGGGGCCCGCTGGCCCTTGCCCAGGGCCTGGCATGACTGGACAAGCACCCTGGGGAGAGGAGCAGGTCTGGGAGGACTGGACACTCAGTGGGACTTCCAAGAGGGCCTCTGGCTGGTGACAGGGAGACCCCAGCCGAGGCAGGGCTCTTTGCTCACGGAGCGGTTGCTCGCATTCCTCCTGCCCTATGGGGCTGGCCCAGCTTCCTGCTCCCTGCCCAGCAGCGGAGAGCAAGTGCCAAGTGGTCCTCAGGTTGCATCCCAGCAGTGTGGCTCCCCCCAGGCACCCAGACCCCCACTCCCCGCTCCCCAGCCAGCAGGTGCTGGCTGGGGTATTTGCCAGGGAAATGTACCCAAATGGCCTGGCCACCCACCGACCTCACCCAGGCCTAAAGCTGGAACAGGAAAAGGATGCAAATCCCCTGCCTCTGAGCTCAGAGCTGAGGCTGGAGGAGGTGGGACAGCCGAACTGTCGGGTGGTCGAGGGCCTGCCTCGCATGACCACCCTCTCCACCAGGGGAGGCCTGCCCAGGGTGCCATCCGTCTGTCTGTGAGGAGGCTTGGCCCTCACCTGGGAGATGCAGCGCAGGTAGCGCACAGCCACCTCGCGGGCCAGCAGCCAGTCGCCGTCATAGATCTCTGGGCAGGGCACCCGGGCCAGCAGGCGGGCGAGCTCAGGAGCGGGCAGGCCGGGCGCCAGGCTGCCGTTGCCCAGTGCTGCCACTGGCACAGCGGTGCAGAAGGCGCAGAGAAAGCACTTGCCGTCCAGCAGGGTGACGGCCACCCAGACCACGGGAGCGATGAGGGCGCGCTGCGCCATGGAGCAGAACATGTAGCGCAGGACGGCAGGGTCCTTGGCCCGGCGGCCCAGGGGCCGCTTCCACTCCTCGGCCAGCATGGACACGTTGTTGTTCATGACCAGGCCGAGCAGGAAGAGCACCAGCGGTGGTGCCAGCAGGATGCCCGCACTGTAGGCCGCGTTGTAGCCCGGCAGGCAGGGGCAGTTGAAGTCGAAGGCGGAATACATCTGGGCGCTGGCCAGCGCCATGATGCCGCACACACCGTTCATGAAGGACTCCTGGTTGGACTGCAGGAACTGGAAGATCATCCGGAACTTGTCCATGGCGCCCGCAGGCTCGGCAGCCCTGCCACCTCACCTCGGCCTCTGAGGTGGCTCTGGCGGCCCATCCTGCCCACGGGGTGCCCCCTGCATGATGCGGCCCTCCCGGCTGGGCTGGCAGGCTCAAGGTGGGGGCCAAGTTACTGTCGCTTGAGGCCCCTCCCAGTCAGGTGCGGCCTGAGCGAGAGCGAGCCAGAGGGTGCAGCCCAACCCTGGCGCCCCTCCCCAGCTCTCCACCCTCCCCAGCTTCCTCCCCAGCCTGAGTGCAGTGGGGGAGGCCACACCTGGTGGGGACCAGCTCTCCCGGGAGTGGGGGAGGAGAGAGAGGCTGGCTGGGCACAGGCAGGAGAGGCGCTGCTGGGCTGGAGAGGCCACTGCCGAAGCAAGCATGGTGCTGTCCTGCAGCCTCCCCTGCTGGGCCCGTCTGGGACCCAGGGGCTCCTGCGTGTGCTGGTGGTGGGGCCAGAGCTGGTGCTGTGGGCCACAGTGGGGTGGTGCAGGGCAGGAGGAGGTAGAGTTAACCCGGCCACAGCATGGAGTGAGATGCCCTGGATTTGGGCTCTAGCACTTGGATTGGACAGATTGCCTGGGCCAGGAGCCACTGCCTGTGAGAATCAGGCACCTGTGTGTCCAGCCCGTGTCTCCGTGGGTGCCCCTGTGTCTGTGGGCTGTGGACAGCAGACTCCTTCCTGGCTTCACCTCCTGCCTCTACCTCCCCAGCTCACAATGTGAAGGGGTGTGGCAGTGGGGGACCAGCCTGGCGCCTGGAGTCTCCGCAGGGCCAGCAGGGTCAGCCCTGAGGGCCTAGCCTGGGCGCCCTCTGATGTCAAGGTTCTCCTAGAAGGGCAGAGCAGGTCTGGCTCCAGCTGATGGCTCCTGTCTGGGGCAGGGCACTAACGTGGGGCTGACAGAGCCCTGATGGGGTGTAGTGTGGGGTGGTGGCTCTGTTCCCCAGTGTTTGTGTCCAGGTGTGAGTTTGCTGGTGCTGGCTGCGTATGTAGGTGTGGTGTGCAGCCACACGTGTGGTCTTTGTGAGCTGATGCTGGCCTGGCTGCCCCAGTGAGGAACCCGGTGCCAGGCCCTTCACGGGCATCGTAGACACACCGCTGCGGGATGGGTCCCACTGCCCCCACTTCAGAGGTCGGGCTGGGGCTCAGAGAAGTGAAGCTATCAGCTGAAGCTTCCCAGCTGTGAGCCCCAGCTAACCCTCTTGTGGGGTAGGAGTGCAGGGTGGAGGGAGCTCAGGGAATCGGCTTGTCTCTTTTTCGGCTTCCCTCCTGTTCTTTGAGGCCAGGAGGAAATGCTGTGTGTCAGAGTACAGGTCGGGGAGAGCACTGGCCCCGGAGACCTGCAGCTGCCAGCTAGGGGTGCCTGAAAGACCCTTGCAGGACTCCCTGAGGGGCACCCATGGGTGTCCCAGGATGAAGGAGACCCAGCAAAGGAGGCGACATTCCTGGTGTCGGCTGCAGCATCGGTGGGCCTAGCTGTTCCGGGGTCTGAGCTGCTGGGGTGGGCACAGCCCCTGCCTGATGTGTTGGGGGAGGGGTGGGCGGGCAGCTCAGGAGCGGGGCTGGGGGGCAGCGGGGGCCAGTGAGCCTCGGCCCTGTATCCCTGTGTGGGACGAGGGTCCCTTTGTGTCAGTCTGCCCTCCGAGTGGCATCAGAGCTGGTTGAAAGGGGGCTGCTGTGACCACAGGGCAATTTCCAGGATCCTCCTGCCTCGGCTTCCCGAGTGTTGGAATGACAGGCGCCCACCACCCTGCCTGGCCTCAACCTTACCTGAGTCCTTGACCAGAGTCTTCTTAGGTTCTGGACTCATCACCATAAGCAGTGATTCTGACTGTGGTTGTCACTGAAAGTGAAAGGTGAGTGTTAGTCTGTAAATATCATTTGAACTATTGTAAAGTTTTGGATGGCTGTGAAAAATAATTTTAAAGATATCCCTTACTTGAGTTAGTTTTGCGGGGCAGGGGGGGGGTAATGTTTACCAGCCATCTGAAGTGATCATCATTAAAGAGACTTGAACAGGAAATACCTGCAGTCATTTCCTGCAAAAGAGTTTGACATTAAAAAGTTGCTCCGCCTGTAATCCCAGGTACTCAGGAGGATTATAAATTAGAGGCCAGCCTGGGGAATTTAGAAAAACTATTCTCAAAATAGAAAAAGAATTAAAAATTCTGGAATGTATCTTAGTGGTAGAGTACCTTTGGGTTTGATTCCCAGTACCAAAAAAAATAAAGAAAAGAAAAAAAAAGAGAAAGTAAAGAAAAATCACCCAACAAACAAAAACAGTTGTGCTCATCAAAGCTTCAAGTTTCTCATTTTGAGAAGTTTAGGAGATTTCATTTGATTTTTGTTTTGTTTTGTGGTACTGGGAATCAAACGCAGGGTCTTGCTAAATTACCTACCTGGGATTTGAACTTGAGTCTTCCTGCCTCAGTCTCTCAAAGTGCTGGGATTATAGGCGATCGCCACCGTCCCCGGTCAGTTGAAAGTTTTATACAAATTCAGTGTGTAATGTCATTCCTATTACCTCATATTTCCTTTTTCTTCTAATTACATAGCATAAAGAAAATATAATCGCTTGGTTTTGCTTTGCTTTTCACCAGGTTTCCGAGTGTCACACCCCTGTCACTGTGTCTAGACCCAAGGACATGAAGAGCATTGGGAACCCCTGGCTTGGAAGGGGGAAGTGGTGGGACCAGTGCTCCCTAGGGTGGGCGTGTGGCAGCACGCGGTGACCCCATGAGTGAAAGCTGGGGCTGAGAGCCTCCCTGCCCACTCCAGAGGACACGAGGCTGCCCAGCTCACATGCTGAAGCCTGGAGGCAGTGGGGGTGGGAGGCCAGGTCCTGGGCTGGGGGCCGCGGGAAGGGCTTAGTCCCTTAGGGAAGGACCCAGAGCTGGTGTGGTGTGCACGCCTGTGATCCCAGCACTCTGGGAAGCTGAGACAGGAAGATCGAAAGTCCAGCCTGGGCAATTAGTGAGTTAGTGAGATCCTGTTTCAAAATAAAGGACTGGGGTTCAGTGTGAAGGCCCAGAGTTCAATTTCTAGAACCTCAAAAACAAGCACGCAAGCAAGCGAACAAATGAGCCAGAGGGCTTGCTCTCTTGCCCTCCTTCCACAAGTGAGGGCCCAGCGAAGGCAGCCTCCTGTAGCCGGGAGGAGGCTGCACCCTGCAGCTCCTCCCCCGCCCCGCCCCCCAGCTATAACCCAGTGTGTGCTGCTCAGACTGCCCGCCCTGTGGGCCTTCGTTAGGTGGCCCACGTCGGGCAGGAGACTCCCGGGCACCAGACACTGCTCCTGAGCATGTCTTGTCCTGTCTGCCATGGGCTTTACCCAAGCACTGCTTTTCCCCCACTGAACAGTCAAGTTTTTCTCTCAAGATCAACCTAAGCAGTGACCAGGGCTGGAGTCTTAACCGTGCCCCATGTCCCCAAGCCAGGGACACAGCCTCTGAGTGCCTCAGCCTCCACTCCGCGAACCATGGACGGTCTCGGAGCCTCAAGGTGGCTGTGCGGAGGCCGAGCGGGTGGAGAACTCATCGCGGTGCCAGGTGCAGTGAGCTGCTGTGCGGTGAGCTTCTGCCGTGCGTTCGGGTTGTCTGTGTTAGGTCATGCACACACACGGCTCAGCTTTGCAGAATGAGTGGGAGTGTAAGGCGCCCACGTGGACAGAGCATCAGAGCTCGGGGGGAGGGGCTCGGCCCTGTGTGGACCAGGCTGCCTCCAGAGGCGTGAGGTCTCCACTGTGTGCTGCAGATTGCGCCCAGGCCTTGTGCACGCTGAGCACGTGCTCTGCCACCAGGCAGCACACGCAACCCGAGGGCTTCGAGCTTCACCCCAGGAGGACAGAGGCTGCTCCAGCTGCATGGGGTGGGGTTACTGTGGCCGATGCTGCTCGCCGAGGGGTCCATGTGTACGGGCTCCGGGCAGGCAGTGGCCACATGACCAACTCCAGCCCTCGTCTCCCTGTCCCTCCTTCCCTGCCTGTCCCCAGGCCTCTGCCTGGCCCTTCCTTAGCTCGCCTTCCACCTCCCAGTGGCTGGCACTGCAGACGCCCGAGGCTCGCTGCCTTCGTCTTCAACCCAGCCTTGGGCAACCATTGGCCCCATGCATGCTGGTGGCCCGGCTGGTACCCAGCTGCCGCCGGCGTCTTCTTCCCTGGTGTGCAGGGCTGGCTGGGCGAGGTCCCCACCAGTCCCCTCAGGGTGGGCGCTGGTGCCCGAGGGCCGGGCCGGTGGGACCCTTACTGTGAGTGGGCTTTCTTCTCTGTCCCAGGCCACTCCTGTTCCTCCCGGGGCTCCTGGGCATCTTCCCTGTTGTCACTGTTCTCACACCCTTGTCCCAGGCCCTGCTCCTGGGGACACGAGACTGGAGCTCCTGTCACCTGGGACCCCCGGTGGCTCCGAGGAGCAGAGCCCCCATGTGCCTCCCTCATGTTGTGCTGGAGTGACCACTGATGCTTTGGCTTTATGGTTGCAGAGGGCTATTTTAGGCTCCCAGTGCAGCCCGACCAGTGCGGGGCCCAGTGTGAGCAAGGTACCGGGGCCTCTACCTCCTGAATCCCTTGACTTGCAACTTATCCCCTCCCAGCCCTCACCAGTGCCTCAACTCTTGCCCACCTTCTGCGACTCAGCCTGGCCCCCAGTCAAGCCATTCTCAGGCTGCAGCCAGTGTGGGATTTTAGGAGCAAATATCTGATTAAATTATTACTTAATTCTCCTCAGTGACTGAAATCCATCTTTGTTCCTAGGGCCTAAATGGCTCAGAGGTGGCGTGGGCCCAGGTCCCTCTGGGTTTGTACTTCAGCTCCCCAAACAGGCCCAACCCCATCCTACCTCAGGGCCTTTGCACATGCTTTATACATTCCTAGGATACTTCTTCTCCTATTCTTTATCTGAGAATTTCTTCCTCATCCTTAAGATCTCAGGTAAATGATCTCACAGCACCCAGATAGAGTACTTCACAGCACAGGCCCCACTCAATTACTCTGGGTGGGTGTTTATGTAATACCTGGGATTCCCAACGGATTATGAAGGTGAAAGGTCCACATCTGTATCAGTTAGGGCTCACTAGAGGAACAGGTTTAATATGATATAGAAAGCATTTATAAGGTAGGTTTACAATGGCCGCCTGCAGAGTCAGGTGAGAAAGAAAGCCGAAAGGCCGTGTGCACGCTGGAAAGCTGGAGGATCCAAAAGTCAAAGGTCTGAAGCTCACCATAGTCCTGTGAGTCCTGTCAGGAGCAATTCTACATCATTTTGGGGCAAAATCATTTGGTTAGGTCTAGTTCTCCTGCCTCCAGGCCAGCTATGGCCTTTCAAGACAAAACTCCACATTGGCCCCCTGTTCACAGCTGAGCCTCAATGGTCTGGTGATGCTGTGGTGCTCCAGGACCAGAGTACAGCAGCTGAAGACATCCTGGGAGGAACAGAATCTTCATCTACTCAGTTCCTCATTGTTCTTGGATTGGTGCCTGACTTGGATGTGAATTGGATCCAGGGGTGAACTTGCCTGTGAGACAAACTTGGAGTAAGAGAGACAGCACATGGGTTTCCCAGGACGATTTTCGGACCCGGATGAGGCACAGTGGTGGTGAGTGTGTCCAGCTGGGGGGAAATTTCTATCTTTGGTGAGTTACAAATATAGGTCAGTTTCTGTCATCAGAGCAGCATAACTTTGCCAAATTATTTACGTTGCTGTTAAAGCAAGCTTTGTATCTGGTACCAAAGGATGCTGTGATAGATTTGTTAAAAGACTTGCAAATGTACATCCCATCTTTTCCCCAGGAAGGGACAACTAACTTAATAGCATGGGAACGTGTAGGTACCGTTCTCCATGAGGCCTGGCGAAGGGGTGATCGTCTCTCCCCCGAATGCTCCCCACTTGGGCCTCAGTCCACTCTGCTCTCAGATTCTCTCAGTCAGTTCAGGAGACCTCGGCTACCCCTCCCTGCACCCGCCCTTCTGTCCAGGCTTCCCCTTGTTCGGCTTCTTCTCCGGTTTGCTTTCATCTCACTGCAGCTTCTGCTCCACCACCACAGCGTGCTGAGGAAGACCCTAACTCTCTAGCCCCTCAGCCTCCTCAGCCATCTCACAAAGGTCCAGCTGCCCCCTTGTGAAGCCCACTTCTGGGGCCACTCCCTATCGCCGTGCCCTGCAAAAGGCTGTGACATGGAGCAAGGCGGTGGGAGGCCCCTTGTGCTTTCCTATTTCAATCTTGCCTGATCCTGACAACCCAGAGGTGGACACATATGTTCATGCCTCATTTGGTTTCAGCATCCTAAAGGATCTCAGGCAGAGTGTGCTAACTAATGGCCTCCAAAGCCCCTATACGGTGGGCTTGATGTTTTTCACCTTGTGAAAATGTGCCTATCCCCAGCTCAGTATCTCCACTTTGAGGTGGAACTGCGTTCATTAATCAGGGAACAGGCTCATAGGGATGCTCAGGGAGATGCTCAGTCGAGAGAAGTTACTATAGGTATGTTATCGGGCACGGGTGACTTTTCGGATTGAAATAGGCAGGCCTGTTGCCCAGCGTTACTCTTTCACCAGCTAGAGGACC